ACTGGTTTATCTGTTATTTTACATCGTACAAGTATGCATATATTGCATCAGACTCGTGATTGGGAAGACTCAAGTTCAAATCCTACCTTAGACTGAACACTAATAAGGGTTAACCCCGAATCTAGTTAAGTGCGCCACAGACTCAATGAGAAGGCTAATTCCATTGCCCGAGATTCATTCACTAACAAATGCGATTTTGAGGGAACCTTGGTTAAGGTCTGCATGTGATTGTGTTCAACCAAGCCTGGTTGATGCCAGGATAGCACATTAAAATTGCCATTTGATAGAGAGATAACCGCACAACCCTGCCATATACTGTAAAACATGTCTTTTTCACGAGCATGTCTTTTTAGCGAATTTAGCGTGAGAACTGATTCACTAATTCAAGATGTCGCTAATGACTTTATTCAAAATTCAAATTCAAAATGGCCAAGGCTTGGGCATTCGTATACAGTAATCCGGAACAAAAAAATCTGGGGCACTTCCTAATTACACTTGACAGTTTTTAGCTCCGCTGTCGATGAAGTCAAGCGGAGCTTATAATATTACTGATTGTCCGTCAGCTTCCGGCATCCGTCGTCGTCGCCATCGTCAACTTTACATTTTTGACTTCTTCTTAAAAACAACAAACTGTATAGCTGTGAAACTTTCTAGGATGGTACCTTGGGTGGATCTCTCTCAGATTTGTTCATTTCGTGTGGATATGTTCAATTGTCTTATTTATAGAGAATATTTTTGTCATTTTTGGTCAAAAATGCTATTTTTGACTTCTTGAAAACTAGCCCGAATGCTTTGATACTTGGTATGTAGGTACGTTAGGTGGACCTCTCTCAGATTTGTTCATTTTGTAATGATATCTTTAATTCTCTAATTTTGATGAATATTTTTGGTAAAAAGTGATATTTTCTACTTCTTGTTAAAAAACGCAAATCCGATTGCTTAGATATTACATATGTAAGTACTACATGTGCAAACAGGCTGCTAGTTTTTTGTTTTTATGGAGGTGATAAATGCACATTTGTGTTGGCAGGCGACAGACAAGTATTGTGAAAACAGGAAATCAACAATGACAAGAGAGATTCGCTAAATCAACATTTCGCAATTACGTCATTTTACCGCAATTTGCTAAAATTGCATGTCGCTTTAAACATGTTTTACAGTAGTCCCAAACATGAATATGACTTCTGTGGCAAAAATGCACTATATGTCAGCACTAGCACTTGCAAGAAAAAAAGTATGCATATAGTGATTGGCTGATATATTTGAAACATTCAATAATAGATCACTGAGAACTATTGCAAGAATATTAGTTTTCCGAACAACCCCATCTTTTCCATTCCACAACAAATAAAATAACAATTTGTTAAGTTCTTTTTAGGATTTTATTGGAACAAGCTGCAAGATTAAGTACATATTGGAGCCTAGAAATGCCCATGGATTTAATAATTTCTACCTTTTGTAATTTTCTAAGCTTCCTGAATTGCAATGACCTGAGTTTTTTCATAAGTTCAGCAAAGTTCTTTTCAGTAGCCATTTATGATGGCAGATACAAATTCTATTTTACATTTAGGGGTTTTTCTGTCCAATTTTTCTTGTCCTCCAGCTCCACACTTGTCTTGGTTAACTGTGCGATCCGATCTTCCAGAATTTGAAAGAGTTTGTACAGGAGGAGAAATCACCTAAAAACATGTAAAGTTGTCGACAAAAGAGAAACTTGTAATGGATTCAAAACCTGGCACTTGAATTCCCTTAATTTCCTGATCTGACCTTTTATTTAGTACTGGTACCCCCATTAATAACACCCTTGAGAATGAGTTCTCGTCCACTTGATAAAGCTAGTGTTTTGAATAAAAATGACAATTCTACCATTCATCAAAGGCCTTTTCCAGGTCTATTGTTAACATATAAACCAAGGTTTAGCTTCCTCATCCATATAATCAATAATATTTTCTATCAGACTCTCCACATCTCCTATTAGTCTATTTTTAACAAAGGCAGACTGAGTATTATGAATCACATGTGGGAGAATTTTTCAAGCCTTTTAACACGTCGTTCAAATTTTGTAGCTCGTTTTGAGGAGTGATATGGGATGCCAATTTTTAAGAAACCTACAATCCCTACCCTTTTCCCCAACAATGATAACTACCTGTCTCTGGGATGGGAATCAATAATTGCCCTTCCTCGTGAGCAGTGTTTAGGTATCCAACAATGTGCTTAGAAACCAATGGCCGGAATTCCATGACCATAAAATTCCGCTGGTAAACTATTATTTTCAGAAGTTTTATTTAGGCGAAGAGTATTAATTTATAATTTTGGCTTCTTCTAAAGTAATAAGGGCCTCGCACATTTGAGCTTGGTCTTAGGTCAGTTTTGGTTCGTTGGGATTTTAAAGAAAGGGGGACTGAATATTGGAATCAATGTCAGCTGATTTCAAAGAAGAACTGTATACAATTGAGGAATTTCTTCTTCTTCCTCATGCTTTACTATAGACATCTAATCTAGATTTGCATTACTAGGGAGTCCTGTTATTCTCTCGGATCAGTCACAGACAATATCTATTTTGAGGATCACTGTCTAGTGATTCTTATGTTGACAATGTGTACCATTATATATTGTATCACAGTCACAATGCCAATACCCATATATGGTAGCATTTGGATTATGAAGACATTTCCCATGAAAAGAACATTCTGTTGGCCTATATTGTTTCCATAATTCAACATGTACACCTTTGCCATCCCACGGTTTATCTGTCGAGGAAAACAAACGATTCCAAATGAACAGTTATGAACTTACACATTATATAGTGCTTAAAAATGGTGTCAAGAAGTATTTCACTATAGCCCACATAGACTTTACGACATGCAGTCCTGGGATCTATATTCTGGGATGGTGAGTCATTGTATTTATATTAAACAGCGACTTGTGTTTAGACCTCCATGCAAAGTCTGATTTACATTTGATTGTGGGGAGGTAGTCTCAGGTAAGGAAAGTGTGGTAACAGGCGGGAAACCTGAAATAGAATAATCACCCACTGTGCATCCGGCTTAATCATGCTTGCTGACTATGCAACTAGATTTCCTGAAACCACTGAAGCGTTTGCTGATGCCCTGGTTGGTATTATAGTCAGGTAGGTGTACCCCAAGCAAATGCTTTTGGATATGGGTAGACAGTTTATAGCTTAATGGCTGAGGTCAGTATATTGTTGTTTGTCAAACAACTAGTTACCATCCCCTGGCTAATGGTGTGTTTGAGAAATTGAATAGAACTCATAATAATATGCTCAAACACATGCAGTGAATCTCCTAGGGTTGAAATATTGCACCCTTGCTATTTGCATACTGAGAGGGCCCTAAGTTAGCTTACGATTCTTGCCATTCTAGCTGTTGTATTGTTTGACCAATAGAGTTAAATGTATGAGTATGTGATGCATTTGAGGCAGCATTTAGAGAAGACATCTGCAGAAGGTGACCAGGTACTTTTACTCTCGAAGCTAATGAGTTAATAACCTAGTAAGTCATTGATAGGGTTGTTTCAATTGCTTATAGAAAAAAGGGTGTTAAATTAAAATTATATCATATTAACATGTTAAATAATATTAGATGAGGAAAGAGCCTCAGTTTCTGCAGTCCTTGATAATTCCTGAATTGTGAAATGCATGGTTAATGAACCTAATACAACACATTGACTGGTCCAATAAACAGCCAGTCACATGATCATTGATTTCAAATGACATACTGTGGAATACTTTATTTTCGCTGGAATTAATTTTCGCTGAAAAGGCTTTTTGGGCATTTTGTATGGAATTTGTTTTCACTGATTTTTCATGAGTTTAATGTGAGATATAGGAAAAAAAGTATATTCGCTGCATTTTATTTTCACAGAAACATCCCTTCAGCGAAAATAGCGAAAATAAATTCCAAGCGAAAATAAAGTATTCTACAGTAGTTGATTGAATTTGTACCTTGGAATAGTGAAAGTTAATTTGGTAAGAGAAGACAAAATCTTATCTGACGCCCTTAAAAAGATCCAATGAGGGTCAACATGTAATTATATTAACTGTGGATGATCTATTGACCTCTAAACGTTTGCCAGTTAGGAGGCTGTGATTAAGGAGGTTCAGGCAATGCTAGAAATTGGGATAATAGAAAGATTAGACTTTTCTTTTGACATTCCAGCTTGCTGGTCAAGAAGAAGGATGGCACACTTTTCCAGAAATTAAGCAGTTTAAAAATCGTTGACGCAGAACCAATGGCTAACCTAGAAGATTTGTTTTCATAATTACTGGGTGATTTTTGGAAATGCCTCCATCCTCAGGGCCGAGGCAAAGACGGCCTTTATTCATTTATCCCGGGGTCGTTTTCACTATAAGTTGCTCCCCTTATTCAACAATCCTGCAGTGTTCAATTGGATGATACATACTGTAGCTTGGGGTACAGGGGAAGATGTGTTAAATCTTGTACATGATATTCTAATTTTTGACAGGAGTTAATCTGAATACTTTCATTTCTTGGCTTGGTTGGGTATTACAGAAAATCTGTCCCGAACTTTGCAGCTATCTCTGTCTCCTGGCAAATCTCACTAATAATGACCATGGAGGTATCTGTTTATACCTCCATGTTTTGACCAACTAAAGATGATTCTTAGTTTCTTACCCTATATTATAATTGGCCTATATTAACAAAGTCTGTGTATTAAGAACAGACACTTCAAACATTGCGGTGATGGCTTAGTACGATGACAAGGTCATAAACCCAGAAGTAAAGCAGAGCTAAATTACTCATAAATCCAAAATGGCAAACCATCAAACTTTGGTATATTTAAAGAATGTCAGGCAGGTTGAAGAGATTACATTTTAATCTCCATCGTACGAATCACACGTTTCGCTAAAGCCATTCAGAGCCGGCCCATGTTAATATATGAGTTGAAATACCAAATCAAATTTGTAAATAATGAAAAATCAAAGTTTGAGTAGGAGTAGTCTTCATTATATTCTACCATTACTCAGTTAATATGCACTTCGGAGCTATAGGGCTACCGTATACTTGTTCTTGAACTTCTTCTTGTGTTATTGAACTAGCTGGTTGAAATTTAATGAATGAATGTATATAGTAATTTACGTTTAACTTAATGGCAATGTACTTACAATTTGATGAATGAATTGGGGTGTAAATACAATGTGATGGATAAATGTTGATGTACTTACGAGGTGCTGACCAGTGAAGAATAGAAGCTTTGTCAATGAGTTCTTGTTGTTGTTCCTGACCCCCTAAATCTTTGCAGTTCCATTTACTGTCAAGTCTGGTCCATAATCCGTGGTAAGTCAATTGAAATATAGACTGACTGTCATATTTCCAAAGTCTTTCTGAGGACTTGTTGGACTAGATGAATCAAAACGACTTGAATTATGGTTGGTATTAAAGGAAAAGTCAAGGCTAAGAAAATAATACTCCCATATAAAAGAGCTCAGCAAATGTAAAAAAATGCAATTTACATTTTTTTACATGAAAAGTGAAAATTGCATTCTCCTACATTTGTGGAGTACTTTCATATGGGAGCATTATGTTGTTTGCCTTGACTTCCCCTTTAAAGAGCTAATGTTGCCACTGTATGAGTCCCATCCAGAACTGTTTACATAGCAACTGATTTTAATATATTGGTATGTACATAGAATTATGCAAGGTTTTTTGTGAAGCTAATATACTAAAGTAATTTGCTCTCATATTGCTTTAAAACAGTGGGCAAACATCATGCAGTGAGCACGTACGGACACAGACCTGCTGCATACAATCAGACACATTTGTAACTCTGTTTATTACACCATAGAACCTCTAAAAAATAGAGGGTCTATGATTACACAACATATAACACAACACATGATGGAGATACAATGAAGCATGTGAAGAATAGTGTAAAGTTATCATTGCGCGTGCGCAGGTAACGACCCTCCCGCTTTAATATCCATGCTAAAAGCATTGGTTATGTGTGTACAGTGCCCGATGTGTCGTTTGCATCACCTTTGTACATATCGCTTTCTACAATTTCGATTCAAATCTTACCTGCTTCAACCAGAATTCCATCTCATCAATTAGATTATACTTCCGGTAGAACTCAAAATCGATCACCATCACACCAGCATTAAAAAGGTGGTCCGTCAATAACAATGGTTTGCCATACCTATGTACAAGCCGAATACAAAGCAAGTTTCTGGTTTACTTGTCGTCCCTTATAAATACGTAAATAGATTACTGACAGGTACGATGCAATAAATATTTTGTTTTATTCAAATAAGTTAAAACACCATAGTCGCCGTGCCGCCTCGTTCTCGATATTGGTACCATGCGACGTGTGTGTGACAATGTGTGTAAAATGCGTGATTGTTTTACACACAATTTGAACATATGTGATTGTGGTGCTTTATTGAAATACCACATAGTTTCATCACATCATTAATATCTCTAATTAAAAAATCAACTACTTGGCTAATCACATTTTTTCAGATGCTATTTAGAGAGATGCGTCAAGGTCGATTTCATCAAACACGTCTAATTCCCTGCCTAGTTTCACCGATGAGGGCAGTTAGGCGATCTTATTAGAGGGTCCGGGGCATGCTCCCCCTACAAATTTTGAAATCTAGACTCTCTGAAACGCTATTTCCTGAATTTTTAGGGACACATTTTGCTGACACAAAGGGTTTCAGCTTGATTTTGGAGGAGAAACGCCCTCCAACATTTGTTTTGAGG